AATTGCTTGTGTCCCAGATCCCCCAACCTCTCTTCGCGCACCTCACCTCGGCGTCGCCGCTGCTACTTTCGGAAAAACACCCACCAGCGCCCAGCTGCTGGTGAGCGCAAGAAGTCGCTCCTTCTCCCGTTCTCTCTCTATCTTTCTCTCTCTTCTGGCCTCTCGTCCCTCGCATTTCCAAGTATGCCGCCGCTTTTCGCCAGAGAAGGATGGTGATGTCGACCAGGGTCGACGAGGGACAATTTCTCTCCTGGTTTTCGATTAACGGGGGGTAGCCCGGTCTGGTAGCGGGGCTGCCCCCCGGGCTACACCCCGCCGCCCGGCGCCATCAGATCTGCCCCCAGACGGACGTCCCCCTCCCCCCTCTGGCAGTCCGATCGCCCCCTCTAGTCTTCCGGTCCGCGCGACTAGGCCACAGACTAGGCCGGGCCGGCCGGGCCGCGAGGGGCACCCCAGAGAGCTGCTCGGGGCTAAATTGGATTTTTGTCTTGTAATGGAAGGCAAACTGAAGGGAAAGTAAGACTTCCACCCCAACTCCTCGCGGTGTGAGGACCAAAGTCGCAGCCCCCCGACCACGACCCCGCAACCACTAAGAGCTTCCGTGGACTGTGTAGCCCCTCGTCGCATCGCCGCGTGACGCGTCGCCCCCTCGTCGCCCACGCTGCCCCTCCCATCATTTACTCCGCTGCGCCCCGCCCTGCCGCAAGGTGCCGACGCGTGGCTATGGCACTTTAAAGAAAGAGCCGGTAATGGTGTTGTGGTGTTCACTTTCGGGTCGCCCCAACTCGCTTTTAAAAGTCGGCCCTCTGTTGGAAAAACCGCTCTCACTCTTGGTCTTGTTTTGCAGTTTACATCATCCTGGGTGGCCAGGATGACCACATTGGCCTCCTCACCGCCATGGAGGAGCTGCATTTATTCGACAACGGTAACGATGCGAAACATCACGCTGACCTTGGCCGATGTGCGTTGTTGTGCTGACTCGGTGCTCTCCGCAGGCGAGTACTGGGTGCTCGGCGTGGACGCGGAGGAGTACTCGGCCGAGCACGCCGCCGGCTACCTGCGCGGGCTGCTGCGCGACGCCCCCGACCCCGCGGCCGAGCGCGCCTTCCGCCACTACCTGGGAGTGCGGCCGTCGGCGCCGCCCCCGCAGTACAAGCAGTTCCAGGCGCGCGTGTCGGCGCTGGGGGCGGCGCCGCCCCCGCCGGGACAGGGCCGCGCCGCGGGGGCGGCGGCGGCCAGCAAGCTCAACAAGCTGCGAACGGTGCGGCCCGAGGCGGCCTACCTCTACGACGCCGTGGTGCTGTACGCGCGCGCCGCCCTGGCCGAGCTGGACGCCGGCGGCGACCCTCGCAACGGCACGGCCATCGTGGGCCGCCTGCGCAGCGCGCGCTACCGCAGCGCCATGGGCTACCTCGTGCGCATGGACGGCAACGCCGACGCCGAGGGCAACTACACCCTCCTGGCGCGCCGGCCCAGCCCCGGCGACAGCCCCGGCGACGCGACCGAGTTCGGCCTCTACCCGGTGGGGGGCTTCCAGTACCTCGGCGAGGAGAGCTTCCCGGTGAGTAGCCACCCGCCGACACCGCCACCCCTGCAGCTGCACTTTAATTTCCTGTCGTGTGGGAGCCGGGTGGTGAGGGTAGACCATTAAAACCTGCGTGAGGTAGAGGATATGTTAGCGGGTGGGATCTACGCACGGTGGATCTCCACCGTGGATCTACGTTATGTCTCTCGTACTGGCGGCGCTACTACCCCTTTTATGTTCAAGTCCCCCACTATCATATATAGTGTCGTGTGTTGTTTAGGAAACGTGTTATCTCATTCAATCCGTCCCCGATATTTTCGTTTTCTTTTTCGGATAAAAAAAAATATGCACTCCTGCTCACGACGTTCAGAGAGCAGGGGGGGGTGGGGGCGGATGAGCGGACGGCGGGAAAAGTGGTGGAAGGGGGGTGAGGTTCGAGGGGCTCTCACGAAGGGTGTGACATGATTTACATGTGCTGTTGTCCTGCAGCTCTCCACCCCCCCTTCCCCTCCCCTTTCCCCGGCTCCCGCCCACTTCCTCTGCACGGCCAGCGGAGACACTTTGACTTATCGCACACGAGTAGACACCACTGCCCCTCCCCGCCCCGCAGCACCCTTAGATCTCTATTCCGGGCGATGGTCGCCGTTCCGCAGGACTGGACTCGGGGGGTACCGGCGCAGTTCCTGCCCGTCGTGCAGCGGAAGATGAAAAACGGCGCTTCGGCATGTCTATCCCCGCTACTTTTTCGGTGGTGTGACAGACTGCTGGCAGGCTCTACGGCTACCTCTTGTCTCTTTTTGTCAAGCCAATTGAGTCGAAACAGATTTTTTCCTTTTGCATCAGCTTGTTAGCAGTAAAGATGGTGGTCCCATCGGTCGTTGACCATTCCAAATGAGAGCCGCCACCCCCGGCCCGGCGCACCCGCGCGTTCCGTCTCCAGCCCCTCGCCGCTGCTCCACACCTGCCGCTGCCGCGGCCAGTGGGCCAATCTGATTCCGATCACGTCTGATCGAATCTCATCAACTCATCGCCTCCACCCACTCCCCCTCCCCCTCTTCCTAACTCTCCCCTCCTCCCTCCTCTCCGCCTTATCAGAGACGAACTCCCTGCACGGAGAAAGCACGTACCTTTTTCATCTGTTGTTTTTTTTTTTTTTTTGCCGTTCCTTAAATTTGAATTGGGCTTTATTTCACGGCCATTATTCGTCTTCACCCCCCACCCTCCATTTTTTTTCAAAATCGAAATTAAAAAACTTTAACTTTTAATGCTTACGGCTAAACATCTTTTACTTCAAACGTA